CTTTTTATGGTTATATTTAAGTATCTTGGCTATTTATTGGCTTAAAATCATCAAAAAGTAGGTCACAGTGACCTACTTTTGAATATCTCAGGTACAGGTGACTCTCGATGGCTCGAACTCCCATCTCTCGAAGTTCTCTATCTCGAGAAATGAACCTCTGGTTTTTTCCCTCTATATAACTAAGCAGATTTACTCCTGATCTCTTGAACTTCTATCTCTCGATGTTCTTTATCTCTCGAACCACGACAGGGGTCCCGTTACACACATTTCATTGTTATTTACCCTCTATCTCTCAAAGTTTTGATTGCGCATGCATACAGGCCAATCAAGCATGAAATTAATGCAGCTGGGACTTACCTGGATAGCAGTGAATGCCTGGGGCTGACATAGAGGTGTTAATTGGTGTTTACGTAGATGACACATAGATGACAGTACACTGGAGGGTCATCTGTGTGTAGATATAATTAATTGATTATAATTGGTAAATTTAAAACAAAAATTAGGATGATAATTTTTAGAAAATAATTTGAAAACATATGTGTAGAAAAGTTCCCATAAACTGTGAACTTTTATTACAGTCTACATAATCCCAGTATGGCCAACATTGCACAGAAAATTCTCTCTGAAGGATTGGATACTGATTATAAGATATTCTCTATTTAGAAGTTGAACTTTGTCAGCTGGGGCATCTTGGGTTTTCAAAGAATGTTGACCAAAAAGTAGGTCATGGTGACCTACTTTTGAATATCTTAGGTACTTATAGGCTTAGAATCTTCAAATTTTGTCAGTTGATGCATCTTGGGTTTTCAGAAAATGATGACCAAATAGTAGGTCACAGTGACCTACCTGTGACTTTTTATGGTTATATTTAAGTATCTTGGCTATTTATTGGCTTAGAATCATCAAACTTTGTCAGTTGATGCATCTTGGGTTTTCGGAGAATGTAGACAAACAAGAGACCCATGGGCCTTATAGGTCACCTGAGCATCATGCAACAACTTTCCAACAATTGGATTAGATTCATGCTTTAAACCAATGTTCATGAAATTCGCAATTTTGAAAGAGGCACCATTGCTTATCATCAACTATACACTTACCATGCTTACTTTGGTTACTTAATACCATAGGTAGATCAGAGTAACAAAGAGAAAATGCATTTCCACTTTCTTAGTTGTGCACCCCATCCCACAGGAACCACTGACCCTTGGGCAACATCTTTCAAAATTTTGGAAATTTTATAAATTTTTTTTTCATCATGTTGTTGATTAATACCAAAGTGCAGAAATCAAAGGATTAAATTATTTTCAGACTATATAGCCCCCGGACTCCCCCCCCCCAAGTTCCTCTGTCCCAGGAGCCCAAAAATTAACTATTTTGGAAGAAGCAGATTTCTACATCATAAATATGTACTAAGATCACTGGCATGATACCAAGGAGCAAAGGAAAAGATTTTCAAAGAACTCATGCATTTTCACTATATAAACATTAGCGCCCCGCCCTTACACAAAAAGCCCTGACCCAGGGGTCCTGAAATTAACAAATTTCAAAGAGGCATCCTTCCTCCTCATAGCTATGTACATAGTTCATTTGTTTAATACCCAGGTGCAGAAAAGAAGATTTTTAAAGAATTTATGCATTTTCACCATATAATCAATACAGCCCCACCCTAACACCATAACCCCCAACCCAGGGGCCATGAAAATCCCAATTTTGGAAGAGGCAGCCTTATTCAACATAACAATGTACTTCAGTTAGTTTATTAGATACTCAGGAGCAGAGAAGAAGACTTTCAAAGAAAAAAAAATAATTTTTTACAATGTAATCTTTTAAGCCTCACCTTAGAACTAGAACCCCTGACCCTGGAGCCATGAAATTCACAATTTTGGAGGAGGCAGCCGTATTCAACATAACTATGCACTTGGTTAGTTTATTTAATGCCCATGAACAGAGAAGAAGAATTTCAAAGAATTTAGGCATTTTCACTATATAATCTATATAGCCCCACCCTAGCACTAGAACCGCTGTCCCTGGGGCCATGAAATTCACTATTTTGGAAGAGGCAGTCATTTTCAACTCAACTAAGCACTTGGTTAGTTCAATTCCCAGGAGCAGAAAAGAGAAATAATGCATTTTCACTATATAACATATTTAGCCCCAAAATTCATGGCCCCAGGGTCAGGGGTTCTAGTGCTAGGGCTGGGTTTAATAGATTATATAGTGAAAATGCATTATTCCCTCGAAAATCTTCTTCTCTGCTCATGGGCATTAAAATAAACTAACCAAGTACATAGTTATGTTGAATAAGGGTACCTCTTCCAAAATTGTGAATTTCATGGCCCCTGGGTCAGGGGTTCTGGTTTTAGGGTGGGGCTCTATTTGTTAAATAGTGAAAATGCATTATTTCTTTGAAAATCATCTTCTCTGCTCTTGGGTATTAAACAAACTTATGTACAAAAGTTATGATGAGTGGAAATGCCTCTTCAAAAATTGTGAATTTTATGGCCCCTGGGTCAGGGGTTCTGGTGTTAGGGTGGGGCTCTATTGATTATATAGTGAAAATGCATTAATTCTTTACAAATCTTCTCTGCTCCTGGGTATTAATAAATGAGTACATGGATAAGTTGAATAAAGCTGCTTCTTCCAAAATTGTGAATTTCCTGGCCCCAGGATCAGGGGTTCTGGTGGTAGGGAAGCACTCTATTGATTATATAGTGAAAATGCATAAATTCTTTACAAATCTTCTTTTCTGCTCCTTGGTATTAAACCAATGAACTATGTACATAGTTATGATGATGAAGAATGCCTCTTTGAGATTTATGGATTTCATGGCCCCTGGGTCAGGGATTCTGGTGTGAGGGCAGGGCTCTAATGAATGCATTGTGAAGTGGAAATGCATTTTCTCTTTGTTACTCTGATCTGCATGTACCTCTGGGTAACAAGTAACAAAAGTAAGCATGCTAAGTGTATAGTTATGATAAACAATGGTGCCTCTTTCAAAATTGTGAATTTTATGTTTTTTGGATTAAAACATAAACCAAATTTAATTGTTGGAAAGTTGTTACATGAAACTCAGGTGACCTATAAGACCCGTGGGCCTGTTGTTCACAAACACATCTTGTTCCTTATATTGAGAAAAGATAGGGCTTTCATATTTGACATGTGCATTACTTGTGACACGATATTTCCGAGGGTGCTATGATTTCTGACCCCTTGACCTTGACCTTGACCTTCATGATTGACCTTCGATAGGGCATTCATATTTGACAAAATATGTCATACAAAAAGTGACATCTCACCCACAAAGACACTGAAAGCGGGGAACCACAATTCTTTGAATTTGCTTGTTGGCTTAGAATCTTCAATCTTTGTCTATTAATGCTTCGTGATTCCTCAGAAAACTCTTATCTTAAGTAGGTCACCATGACCTACTTATAGTTTTTTATTTTATAACTTTATTAAAATATCTTCAGTCGTAACTGGCTTAGAATCATCAAACTTTTTCAATTGATGCAACTTGGGTCTTAGGATACTTAGAGTTATTCGCTTCAAATAGAAGTGATAGATTGTACAATTTATTAGAAGAGCTATATATTCAATTGTATTTATATTTTTTCCCCAATTTTTAATCGAATATTACAAAAATCTGAATGATAAGAACTCTAAACTATTTATAGCCTCAGGTTACTTTTGTTGCCCTTATTCTCATGGTATTAACATTATGGGGTCAATGATCAAATTATTTAGATACGTTGTCTGGAATGCATGGTTTTGATTCATATTTTTGAATTTTTTTATTTCATAGCATTCAATTTTTTGAAATAATTTATGAGCTCTAACATATAATATTTGCAAAATGATGTCTAAAAATACATGTAACCTTTACATTATGATTAATATTACAAGAAATAAAAGATTTTGACAAAATGAAAAATTAAAAAATTTAGTGTGAATTTCATCTGTATTTTCATACATTGACATTTTAATATTATACACAACACAAAAAGTTGCGTGAGCTATAATGGTTTTGACTCGCCCGTCTGTCAGTCAGAGTGTCCATCAGTCTAGTGTTTTTTTTGTCAGTGCAACTCCTTATAAACCTCTGCACATAATTTCGTCAAACTTTGGAGTTATTTAGGACACAATATATAGATGTTCATATTACCAGGAAATTTCAATTCCTTCATTTTTTCCGGAAATTTCCGTACTTTTCAACTTAGATTGTTGGCCATACATGTATCTTGAATATAGAGATGAACAGTTTGTCAGCGCAAGTCCTCGTAAACTGCTGCACAGATTTTCATCAAACTTTGCAGATATTTATAGGACACAATGTGTAGATGTGCATATTACCAGGAAATTCCAATTCCTTTATTTTTTCCTGGAATTTCTGCACTTTTCATCTTAGCTTTTTGGCCATATCTTGAATATAGAGATGAACAGTTTGTCAGCGCACTTCCTCATAAACCGCTGCACACAATAACATCAAACTTTGCTCTCTTTTTACATAGAAATATATAGGAAAATTCTTTAAAAATCTTCTTCTCAAGAACCACTGGACCAGAAAAACTGAAACTTATATGGAAGCATCCTGGGGTAGTGTAGATTCGAAATTGTGTAAATCATGACCCCCAGTTGTAGGGTGGGACCTCAATAGGGAAGCCAAGTTTTACATAGAAATACATAAGAAAAATCTTTTAAATTCTTCTTCTCAAGAACCACTGGGCCAGAAAAACTAAAACTTATGTGAAAGCATATCCTAGGGTAGTGTAGATTCTAAATTGTTCAATTCATGACCCCCGGGGCTATAATTGGGGCCATAATTTGGAATCACAATAGGTTATTATAAGGGGGAAATCAGAGTGGTAAAGAACAGCATGGTCAGAGCTACTCAGGTGAGCGATGTGGCCCATGGGCTACTTGTTTGTGTACTAGTTTGTTTCTGAAGACTTGAATGGTGATCAGTTCTCTCAATAGGGCATATTCAAATTTGTTTACTCCAGGAATTGAAAGCAGTTCAATACATTTACCAGAAAAAATACAAGAGACTGAACTTTTGAATGTGATAAGAGATTTAAACAAGGATGACAGTGTGGATGGAATTCTAGTACAGCTTCCAGTTCCAAGGCACATCACAGAAAGAAGAGTTTGCAACACTGTGGATCCAAGTAAAGACGTAGATGGATTCAATGTTATCAATGTAGGAAGGTTCTGTTCAGATCAAATGACATTTATTCCAGCCACACCAGCAGGCATTATGGAAATGCTTAGAAGGACTGGTGGGTTTTAGAAGATAGTTTTGATAAATTCTTGCGCATTGCTGTTCTTTTTGGACAACCGAGAATCATTATCTTAATCTAAATATGTGAATGTATTTATTTTATAAACCAGGCATTGAAACTTTTGGGAAAAATGCTGTTGTCTGTGGTAGATCCAAAAATGTTGGAATGCCTATTGCGATGCTACTTCATGCAGATGGAATTTATGAAACAAAAGCTGGTAAGTACAAGATGTGTATTTGAAACACTATATGCCTGGCGGGAACAAATTCAAAAAAGTTATTTTTAGCATATAGGTCAAAGTCAAGGCCACAAGGTTATTGACCTTGGTGTCATTTGATAGAACTTAATAAGTGGAGTATGCATACCAAATTTGAAGTTTATCTCTCGCAGTTCAAAACTTACGGTGAAGGTTTAAGTTGACAACAGACAGACAAAGAAACAGACAGGACAAAAACAATGTATGCTTCAATCTTTCGATCCGGGTGGATGAAAATAAAAAACCTGAAGATTTAACTTGAACTTTGTTGAATGCTGCCTTTGACAAACATTTTATTGCAGTGATTTAAGTCAAACACAAGGTAATTAGGGTCTTCCTTCTTCAGCGGAAGACCCTTCTATTATTAAGGTCTTCCGTTTCCAACGGAAGACCTTCTACTGATTCTGATGATTAAGATTATTAAGGTCTTCCTTCTTGTTATTCTTAAGTTTCTTTTCCACTATTTTTATTAGGTCTTCCGTCTTCAGCGGAAGACCTTGTTATTCTAAGGTTTCTTTTCCACTATTTTTATTAAGGTCTTCCGTCTTCAGCAGAAGACCTTATAGCGATTCTACTGTTTCTTATTATTAAGGTCTTCCGTCTTCACGGAAGACCTTATAGTTAAGGTCTTCCGTCTTCACGGAAGACCTTATAGTGATTCTACTGTTTCTTATTATTATTATTATTATTATTATTTTTCTGACACGATTTCTCGACAACTACTGGATAGAATTACATGAAATTTTCAGGAAAGATGTGCTGTAAGATACTCTTCAAAGTTCCAAGACAGTTTTTGGAAATTCCTCTCTGGTGCCAAGTTTTGGACCATTTTCCTGATTTTAAAACGACATTTTGTCCACGATTAAACTCAAAAACGGTAAAAGATATCAATTTGAAACTTTCAGAGTTTATAGATGATGATCGATACTTTCCAGGACGCGACTTTTCGTTCGTCGTCAGTACTTCCTGTCGCTACCGGAAGCCAATTCAAAAAGTCCAATTTTTCAACTTTCGTTGTTTTTCAATATTTTTCATTTATTTTTGGAATATTTAAAGAGACACTTCTATTGATGCTTACTATATAAGTTGTTTTAATATTGGTTAATCTGAACTCTAGATATTAATATTTGAAAATCTGAAGCGGGTGATGGCGGCTGTCTCTGTCAACTCCGCCATTTCGCGTAGGGGCTTATGGAGGCAGCTGAGCGTTTGATTAAACCATTCTGACATAAGGATACATGAAATGCAAAAAACTACTTGGACTCTCACGTAGTAGTACGTTGCAATTCAGTGTCAATCTTAAAAACTTAATTTCCGTTTCACTGCTTTAGTGTTACTGGGCTAGATACGATATGTAATGTGTACAATGTGTTAAATATACTTTCCTAACGCCGAAAAAAAAGATGATAAGAATGTTTTATGAATTAATTTCATTGAAGCTATTGCACCTCTTTAATAGATCAGTACAAAGGAAAGGTGCGAATATTTAGGCGTGGCGTTTGACACGAAATTATGAATAGTGGCCCGCCTTTTATGATTCTTAGACAGGTGTACTGTTGCAAAAGTATACACAAGTATATTTAAAGCAGTATTCCCAATAGCTAAATGGTTTGCGCGTTGGGGAGAAAAGAGAAAAAAAAGGCGCATTCACGTTGGCGACCTGGATTCAATCCTCCTTGTGATCAAAATTTTGAATCAGTTTTCAGCTCGATTTTACAAGTTTTTTTCCTGAATCGGACGGAAGACCTCTCGTTGCTCGCAACGAGATCGTATCTAGTTATTATTATTTTTTTTCCGTACATCAAATTTTGTGCACGCGATTTCTCAAAGATTACTGGATGGATTTTCAGGAAATTTACAGGAATAATGTGTTTTTATCTGAAGTTATTTTTTCCGAGAGATTTTTTGAAAACTCGCTTCCGGTGCCAAGTTACGGGACTTTTCCTGAAATAAAAATGACATTTTGTCCACGATTAAACTCAAAAAGGGTAAAAGATATCAACATGAAACTTTCAGGGATTATTAATCGTGATATTTACTATCCAGGACGCGACAATTCGTTCGTCGTCAGTACTTCCTGTTGTAAGAAGATGCGAAGATAAAAAATTGAATTTTCTAACTTTTTTGATTTTCAATATTTTTCATTTCTTTTTGGAATGCTAATAGACATCCTTTCAATAGAGCTTACTATATAATTTGTTTGAATATTGGTTAATCTGAACTATAGATATTAACATTTGAAAATTCGAAGCGGGATCAAGATGGCGGCTGTCTCTGTCAACACCGCCATTTCGCGAGTAGGGGTTTATGGAGTCATCTGAACGTTTGCTTAAACGAAATTAAGATAGGGATAAATGAAAGGTTAAAGACTACTGGATTGTCACGTAGTAATAACGTTATAATTCTGTGTAAAACTAAATATTTATTCCAGGGTCTTTTAAAACGTTTTCTATTATTGGTTTTGGCTGGTTCTCAAAGTAGAAAAAGAAAAGACTGAATATGCATGTAAGAGATACCTACTATATTTTGTTTTTGCACGATGGGAAAAACAGATCTTAAATCATGGTTATAAGTAATAGTTTTTCAAGAAACAATATCGATGTATATGGTAAGTATAAAACGTAACCATTGTTTTTCCCATGCCCACTTGTCTCATATTAAACAAACAGAAGAGACAAAAATAAGAAAATCATTTTTTAAAAAAAACGTTTAATTAAGTTTATATTAACATTCTTTTCTCAAAGATATTTAAAGTTGAACACTGAACATTGAACATAAATGATATATGATTCTTTGACCGTCGTAGGGCGAGACATGTCTTTCAGCGAACCATTTCTACCTTTTCATGAAGGTGTAACGAATCGGGTTAGTTCAGTTTGGGGATAAACGGGAAATTAAAAAAAAAGTTAAAAATGATTACTATTTCAGTTCTTTTGTGTTACTAACCTATATTAGATATAAAATATGTACAATCCGTCAAATATACTTTCTAAACCTCGGAACTTAGGCTTAAAGAACGTTCCTTTTTCTTAATTTTATTGAAGCTATCATACCTATTTAATGGAATATTCTAAAGAAAAGTCGCGAAGATTTGCTCGTGGCGTTTGGCGCGAAATTATGAATAGTACCCAGCATTTCGTATTTTTTTTAGACAGGTGCATTGTTGAAGAAGTATATATAAGTACATTTAGAGCAGTGACTCAATAGCGTTGGGAATAAAAAAAGGTAAAAAAGTGCGTTGGATTTTCACGCTGACAATCTGGGTTCAATCTTCTTTTGTGACCAAATTTTTTTTTTATCACGTTTTCAGCTCGATTTTAGTTTTTTTTCCCTAAATCGGACGGAAGACCTCTCGTTGCTCGCAACGAGATCTCATCTAGTTATTCTACTGTTTCTTATTAAGGTCTTCCGTCTTCACGGAAGACCTTATAGTGATTCTACTGTTTCTTATTAAGGTCTTCCGTCTTCACGGAAGACCTTATAGTGATTCTATTGTTTCTTATTATTATTATTATTATTATTCTTCATATTTTTTTGACTTTCTAATTTTGTGCACGCGATTTCTCAAAGACTACTGGATGAAATTACATGAAATTTTCAGGACAGATGTGTTGTCACATGAATTTAGTACATCTGAGAGAAAATTTGGAAACTCACTTCCGGTGCCAAGTTACGGACAATATCCTGAAATTAAAATGACATTTTGTCCACGATTAAACTCAAAAACGGTAAAAGATATCAACATGAAACTTTCAGGGATTATAGATCGTGATATATACTATCCAGGACGCAACTTTATGTTCGTCGTCGGAACTTCCTGTCGTAAGGTGAAGGGAATTGAAAAAATTGCATTTTCTAACTTTTTTGTTTTTCAATATTTTTTATTTATTTTTGGAATATTGATAGTGACCCTTCTATTGATGCTTACTATGTAAGTTGTTTGGATATTGGTTAGTCTGAACTCTAGATATAAACATTTGAAAATCTGAAGCGGGTCCAAGATGGCGTCTGCCTCTGTCAACTCCGCCATTTCGCGAGTAGGGGTTCATGGAGGCAGCTGAGCGTTTGATTAAACCATTCGGACATAAGGATACATGAAATGTAAAAAACTACGTAGACTTTCACGTAGTAGTACGTTGTAATTACTTAATTTCCGTTTCACTGCTTTAGTTTAATTGGGCTAGATACAATATGTAATGTGTACAATGTGTTAAATATACCTTCTTAACGTCGAAATAAAATAAAGGCGATAAGAACGTTTTATTTATTTAATTTCATTGAAGCTATCACACCTATTTAATAGATCAGTCCAAAGAAAAGGCGCGAATATTTACTCGTGGCGTTTGGCGCGAAATTATCACTAGTGGCCTGCCTTTTATAATTTTTAGACAGGTGTCCTGTTGCAAATGTATACACAAGTATATTCAGAGCAGTGCTCCCAATAGCTTAATGGTTTGCGTGTTAATAGATCATGTAGTAATTATGTTACAATTCTGTGTCAAACTAAAGATTTATTCCAGGGTCTTCTCAAACGTCTTCCGTAACTGGTTTTGGTTGGTTCTCAAAGTAGAACAAGAGGCCCAGGGGCCACATCGCTCACCTGAGCAATTGGCTAAGAAAAAGAACATTTCAGATTAGAACTGAAAGTCTACTGAGAGGGTGGATGGTTGGGGGGGGGGGGGGGGAGGGGCTTGAATTTTAACCCCCAGGTGGTCATGATTTGAACAAACTAGAATCTACACTACATGAGGATGATTCCCTATAAATATCACTAAGCATGGCTTTGAAGTACTTGAAAAGAAGATTTTAAAAGGTTTCCATATATATCCCTATGTTAAACTTGGGTCGGCCATTTTGGCCCCACCCTAGCCCCGGGGGTCATGATTTGAACAAACTTGAATCTGCACTACCTGAGGATGATTCCACATGAGTTTCATCTTTCCTGGCCCAGTGGTTCTGGAGAAGAAGATTTTTAAAGATATTTCCTATATATTCCTATGTAAAACTTGGGTCGGCCATTTTGCACCCTAGCCCCGGGGGTCATGATTTGAACAAACTTGAATCTACACTACCTGAGGATGATTCCACATGAGTTTCATCTTTCCTGGCCCAGTTGTTCTTGAGAAGAAGATTTTTAAAGATTTTTCCTATATCTTCCTATGTAAAACTTGGGTCGGCCATTTTGGCCCCACCCTTGCCCCGGGGGTCATGATTTGAACAAACCTGAATCTACACTACCTGAGGATGATTCCACATGAGT